CCCCCGGCCCCGAACAAGTCCTGGTCCCCAGAGCCGTCGGGGGAAGAGGCTGAAGGGGCCCGGCTGCGCCCGGCTACCGGCCCGAGGCTCCCTCCGGCTCGTAGCCCTCCGTCTTCATGTCGTTCAGGCCCAGGTCTTCGTTCTGCTCAAACGTACGCTCGTAGCGCTCCACTTTCAGCTCCGGGCCCTCTTCGGGGGCGTACACGTTCTGCGGGGCGAGAGGGAGGCCTCCGTCACACCCCTCCTCTCAAAGTCTCAGGCACCAGCACCCCAGCAATGGCAGGGGCCTTCGGGCAAGACTTGTCCATCACCCTACGGAGAGCGTGACTGGGGGCCAGCGCAGACCACCACATTCCGGGGAGCCGAGACCGCCCCCCTCTTCCTTCCCACAAAGGCACGGGCACTTTCCTTGCCCCGGACAGAGCCCGCAGCAACCCACTGGCTACCGGAGGCCCGAAGGGAACCCTGCCCGCCAACACGCAACAGGGAAACGAAGAAGAAAAGCCACGCAAACCGCTCGGGAGACCTCAAGGAGGTCACCCTTCGAGCGCGCGACGCTGTACCTGAAGATAGCTGTTGCCTGCAGGGTCATCCATGATGAAGTGAGCCTTTGTCTTTCCCTCTACGATCTGCAGAAAGAGAGCACGTCCAGGCATTAAGGCTCCTCCTGATCCTTCAGCGCTTCCGGCACCGAGACATTCTCAGCACGCTTTAGCCGGTTCTAACGCTTCCCTCAGTTAAAAAGCAGCAACAGCTCGATAAAACAAGCAAGGACACGGCAGGGCAAGCGTGGAACCGCTGGAAAAGGTAAGGCAACACTTGCCGAGGAGTTCAGTTAAACACACCTCAGGGCTGCAGCGACGGTGGCGAAAACCACGTTGCAGAGCGTGGAAAACGAAGAGTGCGCTCACCTCATGCAGTTTCCCGACGAACTCTCGCAGCTTTTCCGTTTTGCTGGGCCTAGAGCTGTCCCCCAGAGTGAAGGGGTTTCTCTCAACCTGCAAGAGCAGACCCACTGGCTCAGCCAGCTGAGAGACACCCGGCCCCGCAGCCAGGCCAAATATTACCGCAGAGGGGTCCGAGCTCCACCAGGCAGCAGCGCAGGACCACTCACCAGGTCTCCGATGTCCTTCAGCAGCCCTTCCAGCGTGGTGAACTTCCCCCCCAGCACTCCCATCCCCAGCTCGAACTCCAGCTCTGGGATCTCCACGCTGCACGTCTCCGACTGCAAGGGCGAGCACCCCCTGAGTCCCCACGGATGGATGGCTGGGCCCCACGCACCCGCCGCAGGACAGGGCGGGTAACCGAAGGCACCGTACCTTTAGGATATCCCTCGTCATGTCGGAAGGGTCCGTAATCCGAAGGGTAATCCTGGTGCCTTGCGGTTCGATCGCTCCTCCGGACTTCACCTAGGAAGACCCGGCAGTCAGCTCCACGGACTTTTATACTTACATCGCGCCACGATGCTTTAAGAGGGTTCACCCCGGCAGCCCGGAGGCCACTCCAAACCTGGGGACGGTGCCTTATAACCCAGGGGACTTGAGCAGGGGTGGAGATGGCCGACTTGCACCAGATGGAGCTCTTCAAGACCAAATCCCCCCCCCCCCCCTCGCTTGTTTAGGAAGGCAAGTCGGACCCAGCCTGACCTCGCCACACACGCCAGCCTCCGCACAGCTCGCGCGTGGGCTGGCCCCCCACCCAGAAGCAAGGGAGGCAGCTCGACTGCACCCAGCGCAACGCACCTCATGACACTGCCCGTAAATCCAGCCTCCCCCCCGGCCCGGCTTCCCAAACAGCCGCATCGTGAAGCGGAGGCCGGGGACTCCGAGAAACGCCTACCCACGAAAGCGCAGAACACCACTCCCCCTCCCCACTGCCCCCCAAAAAAGGGTCGGCACTTTTCCAGCTCACCTCATTTGTCCGGTGCCCGCAGGAGTCGCAGTTTGTGGCCATGATAATCACTTCCTTGAAGTGTGGGATTTCTGGAGCAGACCGTCAAGGGAAACTCCACGGAAGGAAAGTCTCAGAGCAGCAGCCTGTGCCCTCTTCACAGCCGCAGTCCTTCCCCAGGTATTGCGGGAGCTCGCTGGCAAGTTGCGAGCGGCACCGAGACAGACGTGCACCCCGACAGGCTCTACCAGAAACAATTCATCCGTGCCCCATGGGCGCAGCGGGAAGAGACCTGGGTCAGCACACAGAGTGACTCTCACCCCCGCGCCGGCCCCCGTCCAGACCCCGGCAGAGGGCACCGATCCGCGCCCACGCCCCCGCTCAAAGGATACGCACTAACTTCATATTTGTGTTAGCTGGAGCATTGCACTCGGGGCAGTTGGTGTTGAACTGCAGTACCTGGGTCACAGAAACGGAAAGGAGAATCAGAAAGTCCTGGCCAGCCCACAAAGCCTGTCCTGGGCGTCAGTCACCCAGGCGCAGCCGCCACCGCGCCGCAAAGTCACCCACCTCATTCCTCAGATCCTCCGCGGGACCAGCTGGCTTCTCATCCAACTCCTCTCCCTGCAAGAGGGGAGACCAGAAGCAGCGTTTACTTCTGTTCCTTAATTCAGGGTCTCCCCCGAGAGCGAGGGGACTGATCAGCCCTGCTCCCCCAGGCCGAGAGCACGCACGGGCCCGCTGGCCTCGCGCGTGCGGCAGGCTGACGACACGGCGGCGGCAGCTCCCTATTACCTCCAGTCCCAGCAAGGCAGCCTGCTGGGGAGTCCTCCTGTAGTGAGTGACCGCAAGAGCGTCATCCTTCCGCGGCGCGTGAGGGTTCTCCACAAAGCTGTTCCCTGAAGGATCGTCTATGATCTACGGGGGAACGAAGCCTTAGGAAGGCACCCGGCGCTTCCCCCGCGCAGAAAGGGGCTGCGCTCTTGCGCGTACTCACAAAGGTGAAGGAGGAGCGTACTTCCTTCAGCTGCTTTAGTTTACCAATGAACTCATCTATTTTACTTGCCACCTCTTCGTCTGTCGCCTGCAAAAGGGGACGCGCGATTGAGACTGGTGCCAGGGGCAGCCCAGAGCTGGAGACGACGCTGACAACAGCGCAAACCAGAGAGCCCGTAACACCCCTCTCGCGGGCAGCGTGCCGCGCCAACAGGCGGAGCATGAACAAAATAAGCACTTGCCAAGCAGGCGCCCCTGGGGAGCCTCCCCTTTCGCAGCACCTTACCCTGCGGACGGGCTGGTCCTGCTCCAGGCCTGCGACAGCTCGGTCAATTATCCCTTCAATGGTGGTAAGGACTTGAGAAGGAAAGAGAAACGGAGGCGACGGCGCCGTTAAGTACACCGCGGCGGTGCTACCCACCCTGCCAGCTCGTACATTGGCCCTCTCAAGCTTGTTTGACCCAACGGGCAGGAGGCCAGGTCCTTAACCGGCGTCTACCGCGCACCCGCCGGCACGCCGAGGGGCGCAGGCCGCGTACCCACCTCCCTTCTGGGTGAAAGCGGGGATCTCAAAGTCCAGCTCCGGAATTCGAGCCGTGGCACAGTCGGTCTTCACCACCTCCCTGTTCATGTCCTGCACGCGACAGTCGAGGAGCGGCGTTAGGACCCCCCCACGGGAGCGGGAGCAAAGCGACCGCGCTGGGGCACGCAGCGCCCGCCAAAGCAGCCGCGTGAGCGCCGGGCCAGCTCCAGCAGCCTCTCCCTTCGCGCAGGAGCGCGCCGGGAATACGCACATTTTGGGCTGCAAATGGTTACCAGCAAACAGATAACGCTGTTCCTCGCACGGCACAGAAGATAAACACTTTATTGCTCAAGCAAGACCAGCTTGTGAGGGACGCAGGTGCGCGCAAGGCAGCTCCCCGCCGCCCTGGAGCCCCCCCCTCACCTGACGGGAGGTGACAGCCAGGGTGTAGCGCACGCCCTGCTCCTGGATCCTGCCCGCGGACTGGATCTCCGTGTTGGACCAGGAGCAGCTGTCGCAGGCGAAGGAGCTGACGATGATCTCTTTGAAGAAGGGGATCCTGGTGAGCAGGAGCCGCGTCACCCCCTGCGGCAGCGAGGAGCCTCATGGGAACCCGAGTCCTCGGGGAGCCGTTTCCCCCAGGCCCCCGCTTTCCTGCCAACACCCC